GTCTTCTGATTTTAATTCAAATAGTCTAAAAAATATATTCTCCACAGAGAACAAACTGAGGGTTGATGAGGGGACAGGGGAGAGGGGGAAATGGGTGATAGGCAGTGAGGAGGGCACTTGCTGGGATGAGCACTGGATGTTATATGTAAGCAATGAATCATGGGAATCTACCCCCAGAGCAAAAGAGTACAGTGTATACACTGCATGTTAACTAACCTGACAATAAATTATATTTAATAAATAATATATTCTACCTGGTAGACATATATTTAAAAAATTCTCCAACAATTTATATATTTTTCAAATTTATGTCTATTTCATGTATCTCTGAAAGGAAGCATAGCCAGCATGTAAAAACACAAAAAGTAGTTTAATGTCTTACAAATAATATACAGTAACTTAATAGCTTATAAAATATGATTTTTCAGCAATCAGATGAAACTCTACATTTGGCATCAAGACAACAAAATGCAAAATGTTGAAACTAAGATCTTGTATCACCTGCTTCTCTACTGGTTTTAAAGAAATGCTACATTATCACCTCAGACTATACCTTAAAATACTACTCCATTAAAGACTGACCCCAGGATTCTAAGTGTGTATCTGTTCTCTATACTAAGAAAAATCCACAATTCTAGAACTTTAATATTCTCATTCTACTGTAAGGCTATGCTGCTCTCTAAGTCTTTCTGCAGAAAAAAAAATTAAATAGTAAAATGCTTTATTTATGCCATTTAAAAACCAATAAGGGGCACCTAGGTGGCTCAGTTAGTTGAGCATCCAACTTCAGATCAGGTCATGATCTCACATTTGATCTTGGTCAAAAGGCCAAGAGCAATCAGGTCATGATCTCAGTTCCTTGAGTTTGAGCCCCACACTGGGCTCTCTGCTGTCAGCGCAGGGCCCACCTTGGATCCTCTGTTCCCCTCTCTCTCTGCCCCTCCCCTGCTTGTGCTCTCTCACTTTCTCTCTCAAAAATAAACATTAAAAAAATAAAAATAAAAACCAATAAAATGTATAAACTTTAACACAGAATTCTGTCACTTTTTCAGTCATATATTTCCAAATGTAAATAGTTATCAAAATAATAGAGATTACACAGAAGAGTAAATAATAATATATCAAAAGAGATTAAAGTAGATAAGGAATGCCTAAAAATAAGTCCTTAAGCTTTCTTATGTATATTATTTCAGATATTGAGTATTTCCTAGTTACAATTATAAGACATCTATTTTAAAACTTTCTTTAAGTTTATTTATTCTGAGAGAGAGAGTGAGAGCGAGCAGGGGAAGGGCAGAGAGACAGGGAGAGAGACAGGCTCCACACTGTTAGCACAGAGCTCAAGGCAGGGCTCAAATTCATGAACTGCAACATCATGACCTGAACTGAGACCAAGAGTCGGAAGCTTAGCCAAATGAGCCATCCAAATGCCGCAATAAGAAATCTATTTTAAATAAAAAGAGACACTTTATTTTCCATAAATCAATGTATATGTGATCCATGAAATTCAGTCTCAAAGGATGAAAGAAGCAAAATACCATTATCTGAATATCTATTTATTTGAGTAAAACAAGCAACTTTAAGTGAACATGTCCTGACTTCTTAATTCATTGAAATTATTTTGTTTGGTTGGTTTACTTTTAAATGAGGAAAAAGCTCACTTTATTAATGAAGAGTAAAGGCACTATCTTGAAATGTCTTACAAAAGTGGAAGGAAATAATTCACTAGTATAAAAAACTGTCTGTGGTCAACTTCTTATTAACAAACACTTTCATATTCTAAGCATTTTATCAAATAAACCACTTTACTCTTACAAAATCCATTTCAAATCACCGTTCTTTGACTATAATTATAAATCCGTTCTATCTTAAACAAAAGTAGTATGAAATGTGAGGAAGCTGCTTATTTTACTATAACTCATCTAATATAACAAATCAGCAAAAATGTTTAATTTTAATAATGATGTTACATTATAACCACTTAGCAAATGTAATCAGTACTGCTATTACTTAGATTCAATTCAATATAATAAACATTTTAAAAAAGATCAATGTCCTCTGAATGCTTTAAACAACAATACTCCCATATTCTAATAGAGTAACTAAAATATCAATGAACTTAAGAAGCGTATAAACCCAATTACTGTTTAAAAGAAATTCACATTAACCATATTGATCAAAAATTATTTAAAATTTACGGCGGGGGGGGCGGCGCCTGGGTGGCTTAGTTGGTTAAGCGCCTGACTTTCGCTAAGGTCATGATCTCGCGGTTCGTGGGTTTGAGCCCCGCGTTGGGCTCTGTGCTACTGCCAGCTCAGAGCCTGGAGCCTGTTTCAGAGTCTGTGACTCCCTCTCTCTCTCTGACCCTCCCCTGCTCACGCTGTCTCTCTCTCTTTCCTAGAAATAAATAAAACATTTAAAAAAAAAATAAATAAATGAATAAATAAAATTTACAGCAGGGGTTCTCAACTTTGATTATTATTACCATCACGTGGGAGAGTGTAAAATCACCAATGCATGGGCTTCACTCACAGATTTTAATTGGTCTGAGATGGGAACGAAGTATCAGTACTTGTAAAACAAGACAAACAGTATTAAACTGAATTAAAACAGCCACAACTTATGGTATGCTATGGTATACTTCAGTTTTAAGATAAAAAAAAAACTTGCTCAGTGGCACCAAAAGTTTTAAGTTTATTAAAAACTTAAGGTATAGGAAAAAAAAAGAAAGTGAAAAGAAAAAGACAATATTCAAAAAAGATAATCAAGTCCTAGCAAAAATGATAAAATTTGGGGGCTCAGTCAGTTGAAAATCCAACTCTAGATTTCATCTCAGGTCATGATCCCAGAGTTGTGGGATCGAGCTCCATATCAGGCTCTAAACTGAGCTTGAAGCCTGCTTAAGATTGTCTCTCTCCCTCTTCCTCTCCCTCTGCCCCTCTCCCCTTCTTGCATGCTCTCTCTAAAAATAAAAAAAAAATTTTAAATTTAAAAAATTAAAAAAACATAGGCAGCACCTGGGTGGCTCATCCAAACTCTTGGTTTTGGCTCAGGTCATAATCTCACAGTTTGTGAGATTGAGTCCCATATTCGGTTCTGTGCTGATAGCGTGCAATTCTCTCTCTGCCATGTGTGTGCATTCTCTCAAAATAAATAAATTATCATTAATACAGTACCGGAATCAAATGAGTCAAAATGATAGTCACTTTAACATTTTCTAACCTCAATACCACATAGAACACACTTCTTTAAACCACCACTTTTCAATATCTTCAATTCTCAAATATCTCAAAACAGAAAAATTCATTTTAAGAAAATAAAAATTACATGGCTATAATTTGAGAACAGAAAGAACAAACAAGTATGGAATATTCCCCGTGAAAGTAGCACAGACATCTGCATGACCAGCCCACAATACTCCCTTTATAACAGGGTCCAAAGAACTTAATGCCTCTGGGCAATGATATAAAAAAAGTTCTTAGCTATAAGTATTTGTCATTTTAGCATACTTCCACAGAATTCAGTTTTTCTCTAATAACAGCTAAAAGTGTATGAAAATTACTAGCAACATGAGCCACCATGAAGGAATAAATAAAGATTACCAGAACTTCCAATACCTGTCAGAATACATTTGTTACAAACTGGATGGTAAAACTTAAAACAAAAATGAAAATAAACTAAAGATAAGTAGCCTGACCTTGAGAATAAAATTAAAAGAACCAAGAGTGAAGTTAAACAGGATGATTTAATTAACTGATTCTTTAATCAGTTAAACTTCCATGTAATTTCATTTTTATTACACTCTTAAAGTATTTTGAGAGGTACTCTTTATGTCACATAAAATAGGAAATAATAACCCAATAAAGAACTAAACATTTTGATCAATCTTAAGCGTCTTCCATTGAACATTAGAAAGTTAAAGTATATTATAATCCAAAATTCAGTAACATCCTATAAAACTAATAATTCCTAAGTGCCAATACCCTGGTAAAGATTTCAAGATGTTTAAGGATACACATTTTGAATTCAGAACGGTTAGAGATGAAAGATGTAAATTTCTATGTCATTGAAGAAATGAGATTTTTAATTATAGATCTATAGTTTTATTAAACAACTTTAGTATCTGTTACATGTTGTAAAAATAAGTCTCCAAAAGCTTGTCACTAGAATGACTTCACAGAATTTCAATTTGGTACCTCATAAAATATATTAATCTGTACACACTCTCTAGATTATTCTTGACATATACTTTTTCACATACATCTCTCCTGAAAAATGTGGTGTAAAATTTTAAAAGATTACTCAGCGTCAGAGGGAACACTCCCTCAAGAAATAACTGTTGAATTAGTTATTTAATGACACAAGAACTCTTACAACTTTAAATTACAACTCTACAAACCTATCAAAGGTTAAACCCATAAAGAATGAGTTGGTGAGCAGAAGTTGAGGTAACAAAAAAGATCAATAAAGATAATTTGAGAGAGATAACTACTGTCCTTAGGTCAGTGATTTTATGACAGCAAAACTGCACACATACATACACATACATGCTTACATCACCTACACACACATATGCGTCGTAAATATGCTTCATTGTTTTTTTTACTAATCCCAATCTAAAGACATGGCACAAATAGAAAGGAAAAACTATGCTGCTCAGACTAAGTATGGATTAACGATTCACTAAAGGCTGGATATAAAATATACTGGCGGGAACGGGGATGACACAAAAACTGAGTTTAAACCAAATACACTGCGTAACTGTGATTCAAAATGTTAAGGTGATTTAAGAAGATACTAAGAGACCATCATAAGATAAATGTGAGCTAAACGAACAAGAAAGTTTGATTGAAATGTAAAGTAATCATAAATTTATTTTTAAAAAGCATAAAAGATCTATATACTAGGGCTAGATATATTAGTTTTATACTATTCACTTTGAAATATCTTTCCTTAAAAAGGGGTTTTATGTGACTAAGTTAGGGGTTAAAGCATCTTACCCTCCACAGAAGGTGCCTGATCCTGAGCTGAATACAGCATATCCTTGAAAGCCTATTAGAAAAAAGAAAAGTTCATGAAATCACAAGGAATTTTTACATTAAAGCCTTTGAAGCTAAACAAGTACTTCTTTTTCAATATCCAGACATGACTACATGATTCCCTAAATTGAGAATTTAGTAAATACTTCAATTAACTTTAATAAAGTTAAAACCCATATATTATACCTTCATATCAATCCAGTATTTTTCAATCTTTAAGAAAACGGTTAATATGTACACTTTAAAAATTAAAAGTCATTTGGAAAAGAATGAAAAATCTCCTGAGAGATCATAAACTCTCTTGACTGAAAGAAAATAGTGATAGAAACTGAGAACAATGGTCCTTGAGAAACACAGGGAACATTGCTTAAGAAAATACAAAACAGTGGATACAAATTTTGTAATTGTAGTAGCATAAATGTAACATAAAATTCAGCATCATTTTCAAGTGAACAATTCAGCAGTGTCGAGTACATTCACATTGCTATGTAGACAATCTCCAGAATTCTTTTTATCTTAGATACAAATACTCTTCAATGGAGGTTTGGAAAGTCCTCCATGAGTTACAGCTTTTATTGTTTTTATCCAAACCAGTGAATTAACTGCCAACCATATTTAGGTAATTTGGATAGTTGCAGTTTGGTCTCCCAATAAGTGATTTGGGGACAGGAATGAAAAGTAATTCACTATACCTATCAAAACAGTAGAAGCAATCAAGTGGATAAGGCTCCAGGGCTGACGAGCCATTCATAAACAGGTGGCTTTATCCAGTCCCACAGCTTCAAAACTTCCAATGCAATCTAACCATTGATGGTCACCCAAAGTGGCCTCCAGCATTCCTCAACAATTGACATTTGGAGTCAGATAATTTTTTGGGGGGCAGGGAGACAGTTCTGTGGATGGGATTTTTAGTAGTATCCTTGCCATCTAGAAACTCACTAACTTCATCTAGATACCAATAGCAATGCCTCCATCAAAAGCTTTGTGACAACCAAAAATGTCTCCAGACACTGCCAAATGTCCTGTGGGAGACAAAATCAACGAGCCCTACCCCCATGCCCAGAACCACTGCCCTAGATTCACTCAAGCATATTAAACTCCCAAAAAAGAAGAAATAAACCTCCAGGATAACCCATTCTGTATTCAAGTCTAATAAATTGTATTCTTCCCAAGTAAATTTACCATATGTTTTATACCAGTGACCAACCTATTACTTCTATTACTAACCAAGCCTGACAATATACAGTAAAAAAGACTGCCAGTGAAACAAGGAAAATTAACAATCTTAATTCACTTTTGTTAATTTTAACCTATGTTTTATAAAAATTTTTGTAGGAAAATTATACTTAAAAACTTTTAATTTTTTAATGTTTATTTATTTTTGAGAGAGAGACAAAGAGACAGAGCATAGCGGAGGAGGGGCAAGAGATAAAGGGAGACACAGGATCTGAAACAGGCTCCAGGCTCTGAGCTGTTAGCACAGAGCCTGAATCGGGCTTTAACTTGTGAGATTATGATCTGAGCCAAAGTCGAACACTTAGCTGACTGAACCAGCCAGGTGCCCCTATACTTAAAAATTTTAACATCGTACATGCTTAAATCCGTAATATTCGGTAAGATTTACTATATAAAATGAGTCACAACAGTTATGTAATTATGGTATAATAAAAAATATTGGCTATTTGTTTTAGGTTCCTGGCATAAAGCTCTGAAAACCTTTAGAATCTACTCTATTTTGTGTACTAATGAGGTAGCTCTTGGGGGTGGATAGGGAATGGCCCTGATAGCTTCAGGAGGGGGGCTGGTCCCCAGAAAAACCAACCACCTGATTAATGTGATTAGAGTGTCAAAAATTTCAGTACCATCCCCAGATCTCTGAGGAAGAGAGAATGGCTGGGGATTGAGTTCAATCACCAAAAGCCAAAGATTTGTAGTCAGTCAGGCAGAAGTGTGGGTATTCTGGGAACCACACTTATGGCTGGTATCTCAAACGAGAGCAGTTTTGTGGGACTATGCCCTGACCCATGGGGTCTGTGCTAACTCTGGATATTTAGTGTCAGAATTGAACTAATTTATTAGACACCCAGTTGGTGTCAGAGAAATGGGTACTGGTCTCAGAACTGGTCAGAAGTGGTGACAGAAAACAAAAATCATTTTTTTTACAAAACCTTCATTACAGGGCCGCAACTTTTCTAAAATTACATTTGAAGCTCAGCCTCATCTTTACTGACCACTAATCCTTAAATTTATTTGTGTACAAAAGCCCTAAGTGAGTACGACAAAGGTATAGAATTTCTTTTAAGAAAAATATATATAAACTCATTATATTCTTTACAATTTCAGATGTCTCAGGAACCACTAACTTCTAGCCTAAAAAGAGAAGTTAGTCTAGATGATTTTATCACCCATCAAAAATTATTTACGTCAGTTTGGAATAGAATTTTATATTAAAGTTCTACACAAGTGTAGAATGCTGGTTAGGTTACAGTCTTCCATCAGATATTTTAAGAAAGTAAATTAATAGATTGCTTACAGCAAAGTAACTCCCTAGATAGAAGAATGTAAGGAACACACACTCAGCCAGAGAATTCTTATGGAAATAAATCTATCATAACAGCAGGTTATACCAGAAACTCAAATATCTGAATGAAGTTTTTCTACTTCTGGAGTATAATAGGCATGTATACCAAAATTAAATGATGCTATCTGGAACCAAATAAACCATTAATGACTAGCAGAGTGGCCTCTATACAATAGAAGCTCAATAAATAGTTCTTGAATTCAAAAGTGTTTCTTCTTTGGAGAAAATTACTTTAAATATGAACAAAGCACACTGAGAATTCACACTAAGTAGTACCTTAGTGACATATAATGAAAATGAATTATATTTGCAAAAGGAAAGCTTATCAAATTAAATTTTTAAAAGATGATTAAAATTTTATAAAGAGAAAAATTATGATAGCCTTCATTTTGATTGTAAACCTGAATCACAATTTCATTTCAATCAAAACAACTCTGAGTAAAATCAGGGACAATTATTTTTGCTTCTTACTTCAGGTTTCCTCTAAATAAGAGACCCTCTAAGTTGTTTATTGTAATAAGTCTCTAGAGAACTCCATAAACAGGATACCATTTTATTCCTGTGACAAGAGAACAGCTCCAATTAGAAACTGCGAGGGGACAAGAGCCTACGAAGTAATGTCTAAATTATACCCATAGATTGTTGTCTACAATATGAAAGCACTTGCCTAGGTTAGGAGCAGTACATCCAACTATACAAAATAATATATTCAAAGAATTTCCTAGATTTATGCTGTTTTACTTTAAAGAAATCCAGTACTTTAAATAAAACTCTGAATTTGTATAATAAAATAAATACACATTCATGTGCATTACAAGAGATTTCTTTTATTTCCAAAAGATTCAAAACAATCTTTTATATCAGCATCTCTAAAGTAATTTGTTAAATTATTTTTGTTAGGATACTGAAACATACTAAAACAAAACTCTGTTAGCGTTTATAACAACTCATTAACAGTGTAGCTTACAAATTAAATCCAAACACAACTACAAAACCAATACTATTCAACCAACAATATTAATGTGACAGGAAAAAAGATGTTTGCTGAAACAAAATCTCAACTGGTAACATGAATACAATGCTGTCATTATACTTGTTCTTCTGAATTTGGAATGCCCATATGACTATCAGATGTGATACAATTCTCCTAGTACCTCTACTATGAGGCAGCATTAATACAGTGGCTAGGAGCTATGGAGTCAGACAATGTGTATGAAAACCAACTCTACCACTTAATAGCTATGTGACTTCAGGAAAATTAACTTCTCTGTATATCAGTATCCTCATCTATAAAACAAGTGATCTCATATACCTCACAGGTCTATTATGAGAATTAAAAACTCTTCTTAAAACACAAATCCTTATATTAAGTATAATTCATGATTATACATGAAAAATACTTAGAACATAAAGATACTCAAAGTTAGCTAATCCATTGTGAACTACCACAAAACTTACATCACACAGTGGGATGTAGCATCATTTGGCCATCTATTTGGACATGAATACATCATTTATGATTAGATAGGCCTCAGTCCGACAGTAGTAGTAGAGTGCTACCTGGAGCCAACATGATCAAACAAGCATAAACATACGCACTGCAATCTCCTGGCATTTGCCAGTTTATAAGATGGTGATCTAGATGATCTAGAATATGCTATTATATTTTCAGAAAACCAGTCATAAACATACTATATTTTTAACTCTCACAGGAAACCTATAGACTCCTAAGAAAATACATGCAAATCCCAGTTTGCATAACTTTAAACAAGGTCTCTAATTATATTAAACTTTCTATAAGATATATATCTTTTGCACAAAATAGGGTTTAGTTCAAACCTAACATGTATGTTCAATAATACTGTCAATACAAATTTCTTACATTGTTAATTTTTAATAACCATAGTATATCATCATTAATCTCCTTTCCAAAGCACAGGCCATCTTACAGGCCTTTCCACAAACTAAGATCAGAGGCTAGAAAAATTCCCACTTTCTATCAACTCACCATTAGCCTCATATATAAATATTATCACCACCATCAATTAAATAACCTATGTTGCTCTCATTGGCTTCAATATTCACTCAAAGTCAGCACATTGGAATTTAACTATTGATTAATAAGCAATAAACAAAGGCATTTAAAAGAGGAAGGGAATGGGATATTTGTTATAAACCATTAAAACAGTCATAATCCTCTTAACAGTGTTTAATAATTAAATAAAATTTACATCAGACTTTTTTTTAATTGGAAAATTCTTCTAACTGGAACTCCTGAATAACAAAATTTTGATGTATTCTTCAAAATATATATATCATGACAGGCGCCCAGTTGGCCCAGTCAGTTAAGCATCAGATTCTTGATCTCAGCTCAGGTCTTGATCTCGGTGGTGAGTTCAAGCCCCATGTTGGGCTCTGTGCTGGGTGTGAAG